ACCCTCAACATTTTTTTTTTTTGCTTTTAACTTAGTGGATGAAAGGCGACACGATATGCGTTACTACAAATTATTACCTAATCTCGAAGGACGAAGCAACGAATGTATAATTATAATTAAAAAACAAAACTGCAAACTATTATTTTTCTTACTAATAATATTTGTGGTTTCGTAACTTCTTTCGAGTAAGAAAGTTGCATATTTTATTGTCAAGTACCTACTTAATGAATTACATTCATAGCGTAGTAGAAGCAAAGTTATGTATTTTTTATGATAAGTATAATTATTAACATTTTGGCTTATTAGATGATAGGTACCGGTGTAATGTTTTCCTTAATTATTGGGTGTACCTAACCACAATGTCAACTATTGATTTCATATGTCGTAACTGGCTGAATCGATTTTGTTTAACTTTTCTTTTAACTACCTGCATTTTTAGGTTAGGTTAGAAATGCATAAACGAAGTTTAAGTTTTAATTGTAGCTTAATATAAAATAGTTCTGACTACTTATTGTTAAAGAAATGAGTGTCATTTGATACAATAAATAAGACAATTATCAAATATGTAGTCTTTTAATTTAAAATATTGATATTTGGTAGTACTACCCTATTGTTTATGAAGAAATAACCTTTAGTTTTTGTAAGCCAAGTTTACGTTAGAGTTTTTTAGTGTTTCGTATTATTTATTGCTTACATAATACATTTAAAACGATCCAACTTTAAAATTACTTACAAATAATATAGGTAAAAGGAAAATAAAAACTTTATTGACGCTCTTTGTGTATATTTATTATTAGTTTTCTTTTATATTATTTGTAAGTACCTATTTAGTTTTTAGGTTTTATAGTATATAGGGTTAATTTGTAAGATCTTATACTTAAGTTACTAGCAAACTCTGCGAACTCCATTTCGCCACCAGATGGCTTCGTTTTATGTAACATTTCGTTTGGTGATGAGTGAATTTTCTTTGCTATAAACCTGACGGACCCCGAGACCTTTCTAACGAATGCAAAACCGTGGAACTCGGTTCGTGCGTTCTGGAGTTATAGCGTCAGGAAGGAAAACCCGACTTATTTTTATATAGTAGATAAGCCTATATTACCATAACCAATTAGGTAGTTCCACCATTTTGCACATGTCCTGTTTATAAAAGCGATTTAAAAACCATACCTTCTTCATAGATCTGCCCCACTTCCAGACTCCTGCATCAACTATTTAAATATATAAATGTTTGTTGGTCGAGGATGATTAATTTGACCATCATCGTCAATTAAGAACGTTATATGGGCGTAACATTGTCACTTAAATAAACAAATACTTTTGACTGACACAAAACAATTTACTGTCGTCGACAGCATTATAAATTTCACTACTGGATATAACGATCGGAGATTGCAAATTAAAAATAGTAGATTTGTCAACATAAATGGGACCGTCGTCGGTAGAGGGCGCCCCCTTGATCACGATTCAAACGCTCAGTATGATGATGATCTTAATTAAAACTCAGAGTTATCTTATACTTCTTATATCTTATCTTATACTAACTTATACTTATTATATAAAGCGGAAGAGTTTGTTTTTCTGTTTGTTTGTTTGAACGCGCTAATCTCCGTAACTACAAGTCTGATTTAAATAATTCTTTTTGTGTTGGATAGCGTATTTATCGAGGATGGCTATAGGCTATAAAACATCACACTACAACCAATAGGAGCTGAGCTGTCAAAAACAAAAAACTGCGCGAATGCCCGACTCACCGACTGAGATAGTGTTGCCACGTTCGGAAACTAAATTAATCCACGATATTACTATTTGACAGTTTAGTGTTTGAAATACTTAAATAATATTATTAGTCAAAAGTATAAATATAGTGAGTGATAAAATATATGAGTGTTGAATGACCCTAGATAATGTCGACGATATTGGCGATATATTTAATAATGGCCAAATTAAAAGTGCCCTTAACCGACGAGCTTGCATGAAAAGACTGGTGACTGTTGATGAAGCAATAGAAGTATGTGAGAATCGTAGCAATTGGCGACCACCTCTACACCGAGAGACAGGCGTGAGGTTTTATCTATAGAAAACATTCATTTTTGCATGTATTATTATAACCAACACATGTTTTGGCAAATAAAACGATCTTTATCTTTAAGTAATGTAGATTTATCATAGAACGCAGCTTCCCGGTCTTTTTTAAAATAGTATGTACGTACGGTATGACTGCCTCGTTGGCCGAGTGGTCGCAAGTGCGACTGCCGGGCAAGAGGTTTCAGGTTCGATTCGATACTGGATTTTAAAAAAAGTTTAGTGTAACTACATAAGTTTTAAAAAAATCTTAGTAGTAGCACGGAGTCTGGAATTGTGCCGGTATATGACAATAGGCTCACCCCCTATTACAGGAACACATGACATAAATAGTGAAAAGTGGGTGTTACATTCTACAATGGCATTAAGTGCCATAATGTGCACCTCTGCCTACACCATCGGGGATAAAAGGCGTGATGTTATTTACGGTAGTCCCTGAGTCAGCTCTTACGACAATCCCGGGATGAGTGAGCTTTGTGATAGATGTATTGTATTCTTTCGTCACCAGGCAGCGTGTGGTTAGTCAATAAAATAATTATGAATAAATTTTATTTTATTTAATAAATTATTTTTTATCTTTGAATTCGATGATTGAACAAGGCAATATCAGGCAGTTCCCTTAGTCACGCAGTCTAGCACCCACGTATGAGACGGGACAGTTTTAAACAGTGAGAGAGTGTGAGTCTAAGGGGATTGTCACATGGAAAAGACGTAGATGTCTTCCCTTATCTTGTCATCTACGATAACTCTCGTAAAATAGATTTTTTTTATTTGATGACTTAAAACCACCCTGGTGGCTACCCTCAACACCTGTATGAAGGCACCGGGTCCTCCTAAAGAGACCTGCTCCGGGGCCTCAATGGTGCAACGCCTGCTACAACACATCCCTAGAGAGACGGGTGTCTCCTCCTCTTTGTTATGTACGACGGCACGTGACCACTATGCCACCGTCTCGGGGTACAAAGGATGAGATGTCATTGTAGTATAGATGTTACGTAAAACTAGAATTGTTTTATTTTTACAATTTTCATTTTTCAATTTTACCACAAACCAACAACGTACGTATTTTATTGATTAAAACATGTAACTGATAAGCTTTAATGGTTTCAATAAAACTGCTATGAAAACTGCAATTAATATTCAAATAACTAATGAAGTGAAGTGAAGTACCAATCGTACCATGTGCGTAATAAAATTATAAACAAGGAACCGGACAAGGTAAACTTAATATTAAATACGCTGACATTATTATAGGTGAAACTATAGATTTCTATACAGACGATAAGTATATGAGACTAGGCTGTTTAGCCCGCGAATTCGGCCGCGTAGAATAATTTAAAAATAAACAACAACAAGAAATCCTACTGTGGTTCCCTATACTATGATTTCTTGTCTTATGGGAGCGTTTACAAACATACAAGTTCACATACACATCACACCCAGACCCGGAACAACAATTTGTGGATCACACCAAGAGTTGCTCCGTGCAGGAATCGAACCCGTGCCACGTTGCGCGGCAGCCGGTTGCCTAGCCACCGCACTAACCGTATTGTCGACGATAATGACTTCAAGCAGAATTTTGTGTTCATGAATTAGTCTTTTCCAAGGCAATTTTCTATGGCTGTAACAAATCATTAGAATCGATTCAGTACCTAAGTCATTATTATTGTGAAATGATGCAGGTCTTACCCGTACAGTGCCCGTTTCCGTGAGGTTTCAGTAATAAAAACAATTCTAAGTCCTTTTCCGGGCTGCAAACCATTGTTGTACCAAATTTCAATCAAATAAATACAGTGGTTTAAAGATAGAGAGTCACGGGACTTGAACGCACAGTTCCCGTTTCATTGAGATTATCTGGACAAAAACTATCATCATCCTTTCCAAAGTTTCACACTTCCTTCTAAAATTTTAGAGATTTTTTTTCTGGTTTTAATAATATAGCCTGGTTTATACCGGCGCGACGTTACTATTGCACAATTTTAAATGTAAAAGTAGTTTTTTTTAAATGTTGCCCCACTTTAGGATTCACAACACACATACACAATGACACCCAGACCCGAAACAACAATTTGTGGATCACACGAAGTGTTGTTCCGTGCAGGAATCGAACCCGTGCCACGTTGCACGGCAGCCGGTTGCCCAGCCACCGCACCAACCGTGCAATCTACTTATTGTGGCATAACTAATAGTTAGACATAATAATATGATATCGCGGAGTTTTATGTTGAAGTCAAAGTCAAAGCATTTATTTCAATTAATCCTTAATTAGGCACTTTTGAAACGTCAAAAATTGAATTATCCGTCCGTCTGTCAGTCAGTGAAATTAATTTTAATGTCCTCTATAAGATTATAGTACATCACCTTGCTCTATTGTGTATAATTACCACAGCGTCAGCGATATCTGGTAGCTTTTTGGTAGTTTTTCTATTAATTTCGGGTTACCTACATTATCGAAATTGTTACCCAGTTATTTTTGTATTATTAAATATAGCCTATGTTCATTAAGGATAATGCCAAAGAATTTTTCAAATCGGTCCGGTAGTTTCGGAGCCTATTCAATTCAAACGAAAAATAAAATTGTTTCCTCTTTATAATATTAGTGTAAATGTAGATGTAAATTGAAAAGTATGTCACGAATTCATCGAAAAATGCTTATCAGTAATTTTATTATTTAAAAAATTCAAACCAGACACTAGATAAAGTTACTAGGCGTGTTCACAAAATTCGCAATGTTTATTAGACTTATCCTGTACGGCTTGAATCAACATGAATTCACGATAAACACAAGATAACAATGTGAAACATAATTCAATTGTATTGTAACTACATAGAGTTGAAAATGTGTTACAGTTTGTCAGTTTTGGGTTTAGCTTGTTTCGCTGGTTTGTGTGCTTTGGAATGGGTGAAAAAGTGTAATGAATTGTATAGCTCGGCATGGCTCGGCTCGGTCACCGTCGCGCCAGTAAGTCAGTACCGCAGCGCGGTTTGATTGCGACGTTGTTCCGTAATTATTCATATTTGTTTACATTTTTATAAGTTGATAACATTAATTGTAGCGGATATTATTTAAATTACTTGTGTTAATATAAATATAATTAGGCAAATAAGTGTGTGTTGTGCCTTCTGAAAAAAATTTGGTTTGTTGGTGGATGTACGGTAACTTATCTCTTTTTTATACCTAGTTAATAGATTTTTTATCTAGATATAAACTCTTCTATCAATAACAGTACTCTTTTTTGATGGAGAATCATCATCCAATGAATTTCCCCGCCTTGTGTGAGGCGGAGGGGAAGTGTCAGACTCTTACTGACTAAAAACCACTACGTTCCAACTCCTGCACTTCGAGCCGGAGCCCCGGCAACCCGTTAAGTCTTCCGCGGCTCCGTATCGGCATCAGCCCTACTTGGGCCTCATCTGTGGTGGTCTGATGATTCTTTAAGGCGCGCGCGGAACGCAAGTTGATAGTTATCTACTACATAGGTACATAACTTTGAAGTTGAACAGTGTTTATTTATTTGTTTGAACGTGTAATCTCCGGGCCGAATTGAATAGTTCTTTGAATGTGTAGCATTATTTGGTAAAAGTTCAATCTCCCGTAGGCACTTAAAAGAACATACATTTTTCATAACAACAGAGTGGTAGCAGAGATAATAATCCTACGCAACAGGATGTGTGTGTGTTTGATAATATACCTCTGATTTGATAACAAATGCAATGTTACGCCTGATATTCTGTAAACGAGTACGTATATGAGTTTTACTACCCTTTTTTCTTTGCGCTGGCGCCAGACATGTGCAATCAGCCTAATTTCGCTCATCAAACAACTGTTAAAAGGTACATGATGCTAGTGCACTGTCAGCGCTTGTATATTGCGGTCATTTTTTTTATAGCATAAGCCGGTAAACGAGCATACGGATCACCTGATGGTAAGCAATCAGTGCCCCCCATGGACACCCGAAACACCAAAGCGTTATAACTACGTTTCCGGCCTTTTGGAAATTGGAAATTTGAGGATTGTGGAGAATACGGGGATTCGGGAGACTAGGGAGGGGGGTAATTGGGCCTCCGGTAACCTCATACGACGAAACACAACGCAAGCATTTCACGTCGGTTTTCTGTGCAGCCGTAGTACCACTCCGGTCGAGCCGGCCCATTCGTGCCGAAGCATGGCTCTCCCACACTTAAAGTTATCTAAGTAGCAGCTCCTTTATTTAAATGCGAAAAACACTACCATTTTGGTGATTTGTCAGTAAGAGTCGAACCGTCCGCTCAATGGAAAATATATTCATAACTTTATTATTTTCTTCTTTACAGGTATTCAACATCTGATGACAAAGTTACAAATGCTGCAAGTAATTGCAAGTTGGATACGGTGCTCGAGTATGTGGTCAACGCGATGTCTTGGAATGTTCGGGCCACCTGTAGCCGACCATTTGGAAACAGGCTATCATTGATAAAATTCTTCTTCTTTATCAGCTGCACCAATTTATTTGCTTTCTTATTCTGGTCCCAAGAGACATATAGACAACATCAGTCGTCTTTCACTGAGAGTTTGGTTCAGGAGGCGATCAAAAATGTCGGTCATGATTACAGATATACGGACTTATATAGAAAGGTGAATACCCTACCAGAAGATTTTAAATACATTCTATTATGGACTCGCAAAGACTACGCTCCTTTCTACTTCTACGGCGAAGGACAAATAGAGTTTCTCAAAAACAAATGTCAGGAGACTAAATGCTACGTAGTCACCGATAGAAATTTCTTTGGAGGTAGCCTGAATAGGTTTGACGCAATCGGTTTCAATGGACGAAACATGAACTCAAAGGACTTACCTAAGACCAGGTCTCGCCATCAGCAGTACGTATACTTTAACACGGAGTCAGCCGATAACTATCCCGTATGCAATAAAGCATTTAACAGATATTTTAATTGGACCTCTAGTTATAGAATTGATTCCGATATTCCATTGGGTTACATACTAATCAAGAACAAACTAGGTGATATTATTGGTCCAAACAAAAAAATGTCATGGGTGAAGACACCAGAAAATTTAGACGAGGAGTATATTGATATGAATAGGATAAAAAATAAGACTAAAGCCGCAGCTTGGTTTGTGTCCAACTGCCGAAGTAGAAGCGGCCGCCTTAGTTATGTCAAAGCATTAAAGAATGCGTTGAAACCCTTCAATTTAACAGTGGATATCTATGGCAAATGTGGCAAATTAAAATGTTCTAAAACACATGGGACAAATTGCAGTGAATTGTTGCAAAAGGACTACTATTTCTATATGTCGATGGAGAACTCTTTCGCTGAAGATTATGTGACGGAAAAATTGCTGACGGCGTTACATAATGATGTTGTTCCCATAGTCTACGGAGGAGCAGATTATAATAGGTATGTTTATCCGATATGTGTTTCCTTTAAATATAATAACTTTCCTGAAACATACCAAATTATATTTTTTGGCTTACATAACACAACATATCATTACGCCTTTTATCCCCGAAGGGGTAGGCAGAGGTACACACAGAAGTAACACCCACTTTTCACTATTTATGTCATGTGTCCCATGTAATAGGGGTTGAGCCTGTTGCCATATTCCGGGCACATTTCCAGACTCCGTGCTACCACTGAGATTTTTTTTAAAAACCCTGTAATACTTTGCCCGCCCCGGGCGAACCCGAGACCCCTTGCCCGGCAGTCGCACTTGCGACCACTGAGCCAAACAGGCAGTTTTTGGGTTACTCACGTAATTATTTGACGAAGAAAAGCCATACTAGAAGCTCATATTCATGAGCAGCATTCTACAACACATGACGCGGCAGTCGTCGTTTCTCCTCACCTGGTTTACAGTAAAATATGTAAGAGATCTTTAGGTGTACCTAAATCTCGCCAGAAGGTTTTAAGTAAACATTTATGAATTTATGATCATGCAAACTAAACGTGTATACATTTTAGCTCAATCGGTTGAAAATATCTTCTGCAAAATTTAGTTGCAAGATACCATTCCATACACGTAATTATACATAACTAGCTTCTGCCCGCGACTTCGTACGCGTAATCCCATTTTTTCCCGTCCGTCGTTCGTGATTTTCGGTAAAAAGTAAAAAAAAAATTTGGTTAAAAGTATCCTATGTCGGTCTCCTGGCTCTAAGCTACCTCCCTACCAATTTTCAGCCAAATCTATTCGATCGTTCTTGAGTTATAAGTGGTGTAACTAACACATCTTTCTTTTATATATATAGATTTACATACATTCACATATAGTTAGCAAATTAAATTTATCAAAACAGCTTGTACCTAATAAATTAAAAGATATTCCTATTATTCACAATAGTATAATTATGTATCATTAACAAGCGCAACAATAGCCTGCACAAACATATTGTTGCGTCATATGACCACTTGCTCCAATACAATGATAACATTTGATTCATTCGCAGAAGTGAGTGTGTCTGTCTATATAATTCAACATATGTTTATATGTAGAAAACTGTAAATTCTATGTTTAATAGTTTCCAGTTTAATTATAATTATAAACAAAGTTTTTGAATTATGAAATCAAACAGTATGAAAAATACGGGTCCTAACACAGTTCCTTGCGGTACACTTGTATAATATTTTTTATGCATACGCAATAATTTTCATTTTGCAATGCATTTCAAAAAGAGTGAGGATGACTATCTGGAAATCTGTATTGGTAGTCCTTTAAACTGTCAAACACGGCGCGGTCACCGGTGACCGCAACCTATTGTTCTTTAATTGTGTCTATAATGACGGTATTCAAAGAGTAAATAAGATAGTTTGTATAATCAACGATGTCTAACGCTTAACTTAAATCTAGAAACAAACGCCAACTCTTATACTGGTTATTTATTGAAAATTATCGAGTACATTCACGTGCTCATGGGTCATCAACTGCTAAACAGGGTAGGGGTGTAGATAAAAACGTTACCCAACACTAGGGTTTTCTTCTGTGTCGTGGGTGCGTTTACAAACATTATAATTTCACATACACATGACATCGAGATCCAGAACAGTAACACCCGTTGTCGGGAACTTTTACCAAAAATTTTAAATTAGGTATCCACCCCACTCTCATATTCAATTTTACCCCAATGTAACTATTTCAAGAGACAGCATATTGATCATTTACGAGTACGAAATATGTCATTAATTCTTGATGTTTTTTTACAGATTTCTTCCACCAGGGTCTTACATCGACGCCACAAAACACCATGTTATAAAATTAGCCGCCATGATCAACGATGTAATGCATTCACCCAAGTTATACAATCAGTATTTTTGGTGGAAAAAATTTTACACATACGATATTCCCGCTAAAGAAAACATTTGCGCATTATGTACAGCTCTCCATAACAAAACCATGCTAAAGAAAAATAAGATTTACGATGATTTTCGAAGTTGGTGGTACCCTGCATATGCAAAACGTTGCCATTAATTCGCCTAGTCAAGTGCGGTGTGAAGGTGATTCCAAAAATACAATATAACTCGACCAGACTAGGGTACGCCACTATACGTAAACATTTCTCCCTGTTGTTCATCATCTACAATACTTATCAGTCTTATTACCACCACGCTCACTCAGTGAAGTGTCCAACTTTCTAAGAGGTTGACTGTACAACTGTGTGCTTAATGGAATTGAGTTTTACATTTTTTGCATAAAGCATCGACATAGTAGACGGATGGGCTATAATAGTATGCCATGTCACTCGACAGGTTGCTTCGAGCCCCGCGGACAGAACGGGCAACCCGCGTAGCGGGGATCCCTTGTCTTGGACAAGTTTAAAACAAGTTTGTACAGCTCTAAAACGGAACCAGAATATTTTTTAAATTACCCTTTGCATAATTTCAACCTCATTAATTTGCAATAACATATTTTGAGAGCAAGGGAGGAAAGCGAGAAAAATAAAAAGTGGGCTCTTGTCATGTAATCAGTATTTATTTATGTACCTCTAAAAGAATGTGTAAATGTGTACTTACTATAGATAATAATAATTGTAGGTCTTTCAAAGACTTGGCTTCCGTTAAATTAATCTTAGCCTGTGTTTTATTTTGTAATGAAAAGCTTTTGAAAAAATGTAAAAAGATTCAAAAAATCAACACTGTAGGCTTCGTTTACCACGAGGCAAGATAAAACGTGGGCAAACGTCGACCCATTATATATATATAAAAAAAAATTCAGAATGATTGTTGGCCTAGTTCGATTTGAACATAAATCTTTTTATACATATTAATATTATACTTACATATAGAACACCTCGAAACTCGATAATCTTCCAAAGAATGATAATTATAGTAAATAATGTGAAATCTCATTTTATTGTGTACCTTCAATTCACGGCACGAACATTGGCAAGATATTATTGTGATGAATTAGGTACCTACGTAAGTTTTAATCCGTGGTGGCTTTTAACCAAAGAGGCAGAGATGCAAGATGCAGTGAAATAATAAGCAAATCTTGCCACCATTCGTGCCGAGTATTATACATAATATAATTATTTAAGTACTTACTTAAAATAAGTTAGTTATAAACTGTTTTGTTAACTTACAAGTTCATATTTTTAATTTTAACTTGAAAGACATGAGCAAATATATTATAAAAAGAAAAAAATATTTACTAAATGAGTAGGAATCTCGTTGCCTACAAGTTGAAATAAAAATGTTATCGTGGGAATGTACCTATTATTAGGTTCCATTTTAAAATTATGTACATCATACAGAGTGTGTCATAAATATGAAAAAACTTGCTTCTGCCAGCGGCTTTGTCTGCGGTCCCTAGGAATAGACTTAGCCTATGTGTTAGTCCAGACCAAAATGCCCTGTTCCAAATTTCATCGCGATCCCTTCAGCTGTTTAATAGCATTATTTATTAGTATTAATAGCATTTGTATGTAAAAGTATTAATGTTACAAATCTATTGCACTGGTAATGAGTTACGTGTGTGTAACTGTTTTATAACGATCTTGCTTTAAAAGCAAAACTTCCAATTGATAATAATTATTGTTCCCGCGATAAGGCATTTAGGGAGCGGGGCTTAGGGGCCTACTAGCTACACCTGTTAGTATAGCCACACGGCTAGCTTGTAGGTTTTTTTAAGGGGGAAAATCATCGAATGTGATCTCTCTCTCCCGCCTAGTTGAGGCGAGAGAGTGTCAGACTCTTACAGACTAAAAACCACCCCGTTCCTACTCCTGCGCTTCGAGCCGGAGCCCCGGCAACCCGTTGGTTATGTTCTCCGCGGCTCAGCTTGTAGGTTAGGATTGTCTTTAAAATATTTTATGAATGATTTAAAATTGTTTAAGGAAAAAATATCTTAGTATGTTAAACTTTTATTAGTCAAAGTTAAAGTCTAAAAAGTATATATTTCAATTATATTTATAACACACTCTGTATAGGATGTCATTGAATTCGTAGGTGGCTGGGTGTCTGAATTTATACTAAGGTATGTACTGCCACGGTACTAGCAGCGTTATCTAAATTATTATGACATAGTTACAGCTTGACAAAAAGAGTTTGGCGCGGTAACAGTTGGAACTACTATTGACTCATGATTGACTCAGACTGAATCACCCACTTCGGACCATATCCCATGAATAAACAATCATCTGAACATAGTACCTCCTCTTTTTAAACTCGATTAAAATAATATCAAAACCGGTTGAGTCGTAGTGTACCAGGTTGTCACAGGTACGATACTAACGATCTCAATTATTCGAAACTCTTTTTGCCGAGTTGTACTTTAGTTGTCCTCTATAATATTTTAAGACACTCTGCCCCTAACGTTACTATCAAAAAGTTTAGTCTATGATACATTTTTGTAAATAGAATCAAATCAGCTCGTGCGTGATAGTTTACTGACAGCAGTACATAGACCTATGAGGGTTTTCCTCATTGAGGGCCGATTTTTCAATCATTAGTTCTTACCTGTAGAATAAAATTGACAGTTGACAGTATGGAAGAATTGTCAAATATTGAAACATAATCCTTTGATAAAATTGAACTGGCGTTGGAAAAATCGGCCCTTAGTAAAATTCCAAAATTTCCAAAATTTCTAAAACACGTACCTATTTATTTGTAATGTCAATAATCTTTGTTTATTTTAGTTTCAAATTATACTATATTATAAATAGTCTTTCATACAAATCATCATAAGAATCTTTCTTAGTAGGTGCCTATATAACAAAATGAATATAGGTACTATCCCAATTTCATGTTCGTGTCATTTATAGTTTGCGCTCGGCGATATTGAATCAGTCAGTCAGTCAGTCAGGACGGGCTACTTTATAAGTATAGATGTAACCATTGTAACCATTTTTGTAAACTATGATTGTTTGTATGTAAGCATGTCATGCTTATGTAAGGATTTGTTATTAAACTGTATAATAATTGTATGGTGGTTGTTTTTATTTATGGACATAAAAAATGTACAAATCCGTAAATTAATTAATTCATAGTTTAATGTAATATCCCCATGTTGAAGTGGCGTGCAAACTAGATACTTGATGATTAAACTCAAACAAATTCAAACAAACAATAAGTTATCTTATTGTAAGTTCAAATTAATTCACTCGCAAACTGAGAAAAATGTTTTTTTAATCAAAGTCCCTTCAACAACACTTTGATCATTCAGGGACATACGTTGTTATTTTCTTTTTTGCGTTTATGAAAATCTTCCTTGATCATATCCGCAGCTTTCTCGCCTATCATCATAGTCGGAGTGTTAGTATTGCCACTCGGTATCAATGGAATGATGGACGCATCCACTACTCTCAGTCCAGCTACATTGTGCACCCTTAGTCTCTCGTCCACAACACCATCCTGTCCCATCCGACATGTACCAACAGCATGTTGTATCGACACTACAGTGTTCTTCGCGTAACATTCCCAAAATTCATCCGAACCCCATTCTATATGTTCACAAGCAGTCACTGTTAATCTGGGAATACTTCCGTTGACCTCCCTGAAGTATGTAGTGTTTATCAAAGTATTCATGTATTTCACTCCCTCGGTAAAGATCTTTAAGTCATAATTACTTCTAAAATACCCCAATTCAATAATAGGATCATCCAGGGGATCTGTACTACGTAGTTTAACTTGTCCTCTCGACAGTGGGTGTAGGAGAGCGAGCATAACAGTATCTACTTCATTATTAATATTGGCGGACCCTAATGCAAGACAATAATCTTTTTCTAAACTACATCCACTAACTAATTTATCAGGATCACCAGCTCCGAGGTAAGAGTTGAAAAATTGAAATTGTGGTTGTAATTTAGAAGGATACTCAAATTCACTACCGTTAATTCTGATGGCTCCACATTGTACTGGATTTGGAATCGTATCTATTTGGACAGCGGTTACAATATTTTGGAGAGCTGTCTCTAATCCGCTTTTACCTTTATAATGCAACCGTACAATCTGGTGATCTTGTAAATTTTTACCAACCGGAAGATCTACTAATGTTTTTATCCGTAACTTTGATAATTCCTCTCCAGGTCCTATTCCTGACTGTAAGAGAATTTTCGGACTATTGAATGTACCAGCAGACACAATAACCTCTTCAGTAGCGTATACGTTGATGTATTTCTTACTAGATGTATACACCTGTACACCATACGCGCGCAAAGTACTAGGATCAATTAATACTTTAGTGACTGTGGAATACTTGGCCACTTTCAGATTAGGTCTGTCTTTTGCTGGTCTTAGGTATGATTCCGCTGTACTCGATCGTCTACCACCATAAATATTGAAATGTGGTCGAGCAGCTCCAAGAATTTCTGGCCCATTAGTCTCCAAAACTCGCGGAATACCCATTTCTTCGTAAGATTGTAACCTGGAGTTATCTATAGCATTAATTGACGACAAAGTTGGTGGTCTAGAGACTTTAACAGGTCCAGTTGTTGAATGGAGTCGGGCATTTTTTGGATACTCAAAAATAACTGGATCTTTCATATCTTCTAACTTCTTAAAATAATACAGTACTGTCTTCCAGTCCCAACCGGGTGCAATACGATTCCAGTTTTCATAATCTTCGGGTACTCCTCGTGAATAGATCATGTTGTTGATGGAGGAACAACCACCGAGCAGTTTACCTCGCGGGTAGCTCATGGAACCACCCTGATGGGCCTGGCCTACACCCTCGTCAAAAACAGCTGTGTAATTCCAGTCATATTCAGAACCTGGTAAAGTTGAGCTGAGACCAGGAAGCTGAAACAAAAATATTGATATTATATCACCTCTTCGTGGTCCTCACACCCTTTGGTAGGTACTCTCCTTTCACCAAGTCAACCAGTGATGATAGTTGACATACTTGTCTATCTTGACATACTTACTTTTTATATAAAAATACCAATATAACTGCTCTGTTAGGTCTTTTACAATATCATTTTTTATTAGAGACATTAGGCTTATCACAATCCCATTCTGTATAAAAACTTCTAATTTGCACCATACATCTGCTTCTATTACCTACTTACCACACTGGTTGGCGGCGGGTCGCCTCCAGCCTCGATAAGCAGCACTTTTAACTCTGGTATTTCTGAAAGCCGAGCAGCTACCACACTGCCTGCTGACCCACTCCCCACCACAATGAAGTCAAACTTCTCACAATCTGTATCAACCAAGATCTGAATTAGTAACTATTTGAATATTACACTTGTTCTCAACAGAACGTCATGTGAGAATCAATCGATCAATCCACTTAGCCCAGCCAATCGGTTTTATTATAATGCGGTACATACCCGATATCTTGTAGTTTTCAGGCCATCCTGTTTGAAATATTGCCTGGGAAATAGTCAACACACGCATTATCCATTGCACCAGAGACGTGGTCCCTAATGATTGCAGGAACTTGAAGAATTCATTGATTTCTACATTAGAAGACATTTTTATATGAATTCAACAGTAGTTTTATTATTCAAAGGTTTACACTCATGATGAAACTTGTGTTCTAACAGTATATGCCCTCGACTGGTGCATAATATACGCGATCAAAGTAGGTTTGTTGTAGGTTATTGCCACGCCGGGTGACCACGCTTCTGAACGACGCACGGCGACGGGTAGACACTTTTGTCCAGAAATAGATTGTAATCTGGATTTAAACAATTTATTTAATTTGATTACGTATCCGTATTTGCAGACAGTTTTTCGCATCGCAAACGTCCGTATTTTCATTATTACACAATAATACTACACTGAACATTTTGATTAATAAAGTGGATCGGAGATTGAACCAATTTGTTCCAGTGTGTTTTAATAATTTGGTATAAAATTATCAATTTGCCATAAATAAAATACGTACAGTTGAATGGATGGTTTGGGTGGCCTCGGACAATTGTTTAATTATAGTAAACGTTTTTCTTATAAAAGTATTGTAAAAATATTATTGTTGGCCAATGAAATGGAAATTTAGCATGACGTCACTTCTATGTACATTTTATACGTAGAAATGACGTTTTAGCACCCAGTCCTAAGCTTTGAATCGTTATTTCTAAGTATCATTTATACAACAAAATAAAAAAATACGTGTCTAATATTTTTTCATTACCTAACTGACGGACTAATTACATTTTTAATTTTCATACCCTGTCATCATCCCTATTATGAGGTTTCTAAAATAAATATAATTGGGAAGTGTCTATAAGGTTTTGCTAACGCACGATGTGGGCCCCCGTGGCAAGGAAGGAGGCCCTGTATAATTGATACGGCATATACGGCGCTACGCCCATGGGCGTAGCCAGCTTTGGGCTTAGGGGGGGGCAGCAGTCAACCTATCCCCCGGGGGCCCTACGATTTTTTGTACCTTGAGCCGTTAATCTCTTAATTCGAGAGGTTTATATTTTCAGGTACAGAAAATAAAAAATCACACAGGACAGATTTTATAGTTTTATTTATGAATACTTGGTGTTTATAAATTACAGTTTTAACTAAGTATATGTATGAGTAATATTACTTCAAGAGAAGACGGCGTGTGTTCTGGCAGAACCTGTTAAGCACTTCTTCTAAAAAAATATTTTTCGATTCTGATACCCTTGTTCTGTGCACACTTAGCATACACAGGCCGCTTAAACAATTTTCGCTCATAGTTGAAACCACGTTTTGACCCGCCGCAAAGCAAAATAGCGAGCGCGGTTTTTACACTAGGATAAAATTACATTTCCGATATTTTGATCACATCTACCAGTTCCATCTCCTTCAATGCATTAATGTCCGGACTTTTTTATTCCCACAAATTATACCACATCTCAGCCTCGCTTTGGAAAGTATCACTTAATTTTTTAAAATTAAAACAAAACACAAGATAGCTACTGGTAACCGCTGAGGAGTTCCCTCAACTATGATACTACTTCATCATCAGACCCTTATTGGCAATCACATACCATACAAATTAATCAAACCCAAATACAATGTAGCTACTGTTAACCGTTGAGGAGTTCCCTCGACTGCCTATCGGCTCCATCATCAGATCAGCTCTAGACCTTTATCAGATTTAAGTGGTTTTATACTCAACGAAAAAATTAGCAAATGCACTAGTCGCCCCTATAATTTTTAAAAGGTTCCCTCGGTTTCCCTGGGATTCAATCATCAGAGCCTGACTTTATGACAATGGGACCAAATGACAAACCTACCCTTTCAAAAAAAAGAGAATTTTTGAAATCGGTCCAGGCGTCTCCGAGAAATCGAGTAACAAACATAAAAAAATTTACAGTCGAATTGAGGACAAAACAAGCAAACAATACAAATCACGCCACGAGCCATAGAAGATTTTAGTCTGCGCTTCGCGGGGCGCGGGCAGGGATGAGTGACCGCACGGTGATGGACGGCTCGGCTCACTACGCCACAAGGCAGGACGCGTGAGGCAGCGAAGCGCTGCCTCCTCGCAAACCAGCCATTGCGAAGGACACACCGGACGTCGGGGATCGCTGGACGATCTCCGGCCTCCGTAAGCGCGGGCCTGCGGGCGGCGAGCATGGGGTGCTCCCCGTCCGACCAGAAATAGACCCGAGCGTAGCGAGCGTAGACGCATCGCGTTCCGCGTGCCCCTCAAAGAGCCATCAGACCACCGCAGATGGGGCCCAACAAGGCCGATGCCGATTCGGAGTCGCGGAGAACCTAACGAGTAACCGGGGCTCCGGCTCTACGTGCAGGAGAAGGAACGGGGTGGTTTTTAGTCAGTAAGAGTCTGAAGAGTCTGACACTCCCTCCCGCCTCACGCAGGCGGGAATAGTCATTCGATGATTTTCACCCCTTAAAAAAAAAACGCCACATAGTACTTATTCTTTTAGGGAATACGGCTCGCTTCCAAATGACGCGCGGACCGCGCACGTTCGGGAACTCGAGCGTGCATTTTGTTTTGATCGCGCTCTTTTCAAAGTCGACAATTTTTTTTTGTGCAATAACTTACGGATAGTATGATTGTTGATGTTAATGGTTAGAGTTAGTAAAAAAACATTGTTTATTCAGACACCTTATGGGTCAGAGCCAGGGCCCAGGGTGGGGCAAGTGCCCCAGCTTGCCCCAGTGTGGCTACGCCCATGGCTACGCCCCTGGTACAATCTACTTTTTATTCGAGAAATCGTATTTTTCCCATGAGGTAAGTAAATAAAGGTAAACGTCTCAACACGATGCGATACCGTGGTACCTTTTTTTGAGAATTGTCTCTTTTTTCCTATAAACATATTTGGTTCACTTAGTAATAAAATTCGATAATTTTTTTCCGTAATTCTTGTTTTCACTCGGCACGCAGATAGGTGCCTACTTTTAATTTCTAACATAAAATGTGAATATTGGCCAAGGTTTGCAGATAACAAACAAATATACCTACGTCAAAATGTTTCACAATATGTTGCTTTCTTTTGAAATGTTAGATATATACCAACAAATTTCAATACTTTTGTGTTAAAATTCCAAATAATTCTATATATAGAATTATAGGTACCATTTTAACATTATTGCTACCTAACCTACTGACTTTTTATTTGAGTATTGTCCGTAACCGACATGTTGTCAAGTAGGTAATATGTTTAACGCACCTGTAATACAGAAATCTGCACATTAAATATTTTACGACAAAACATACATAATCAGTGAGTTTGAAAAACAGTAACAGAGAACTGTTTATTTGCTCTGTTTATATATGTTTATTTGCTCTGTTTATATATGTCTATTTGCTCACGCACGCCAATCGCCGAACATCATCGAATGACTGCTCCCGCCTGGGTGAGGCGGGAGCGAGTGTCACTCTTACTGACTAAAAACCACCCCGTTCCTACTCCTGCCCTTCAAGCCGGAGCCCCGGCAACCCGTTATGTCCTCCACGTCCGTGGCGGTCTGATGGCTCTTTGAACGCGACGCGCCTACCTGTAATTGAAGTGGAAGTTCATTATTACTATGTATTCAGAAATTAAACCACCCAGTACCAAATATCCGGACCGTTTAACCTGCCAGAAAAATTAAGCCAGTCAGCGAGGACATGTCCTTTAATAAGTATAGAATCAGAGATAAGCCTAGAAAGCATGTATATTTTGCTTAACCGAGCTTACGGCGCGGCGCGTTCCGAGCGCGCCTCAAGTGGGCCCCAGTATGGCTGATGCCCGAACTGGAGCGCCGCGCCGCGTAAGACCGCGGACCGGGTTGCCGGAAAAAGCAAGAGGAATTACAGTGCGTATACATGTTTTTTAGTCAATAAAAGTCTGACAATCCCTCCCGCCTCACACGGCCGGTAGAAGTCATTATATGATTTTCCCTCCTCAAAAAACAAACAAACAGAGAGGTTATAATTTGTTTTGAAAATATAACAAAAATTTAGTTGAAATCACTATTTTAAAGCCATTCAACGATGATTTTTGTGAATGAGATGACAAATATGCAAATTTATCTACGATGCAAATGAACAAAAAATTCTGTCTTTTTTATGATCCGGATAAACTAAAGAAATACAAAATTTAAAGTGGTTGACATGAGAATTGACTCAGCGATAGTTTAAACTCCTGGGCTACCAATGAAATACTTTTTTACCCGAAAATGAATATAAAAAAGTAATTATATAGAAATGTTTCAACAACCTTCTCTATTGTCAATGTCTTGCTATCAGCAGCTGTAGCCAAATGCCATTTAGCGCTTGTCTACATGTAGATTAGAAAACTAAATTATATGGGATTGACGTAAATTTTGACACTTTTCAGTGTCATCCCCATACATTTAGTTTTCTACTCTCTCTGTAGACAAGCGCTAAAGTGGCGTTTGGCTAAAGGCACAGCTTGATACTTGATAACAAAATGGTTATTGTTGCTTTGAAAGTAAAAAGTTTACTTTAAAAAGAGTATAATATGTAGTTTTTGAAGTTTATCTTTAATATGTGTACCTTTAACTTCGTAGTGCCAGCATTATTATAAAGTTTGAATTTTTATGTTCAGGAAAGTGCTATTGGTGCTATATTTGGTGTTGATGCGCTAAACTTTATCACAAACCATAGATATAAAAACAGTGTGTCAAACTGATACAATATCTGTGAAGTTGTGGGACTCTGTGGATGTGTCACTGTCAAATATGTCATTGGTGTCATTTTACCTGTCAATGTCAATACTGACGGCGTTTTATTTTTATTTTTATCCTGATAACATATCAACAACTTCAACTGGTAGCCAATGAGGCAATAACATAACCAAGATTGTGCATATAAATAAACCGCACTAAGTGCTGACAATGGACATTAATAATTTGACCGCTAAAATGAGCTTCGAAGATTCCCCGTAAGTAATTAATTTGTTAATAAATAATTAGTTATTTTATTCGCAAAATTTGGCTCTCCTCTGGCTTATATCTGTGCATATAAATGATACATTTTAATTAATTTATCCGTTATTTATTTTATAATTTCTATATAATATTAAGTTTTATTTTTAATAACTTTAGCTGAATATTTTTTTTTTGAGTTTACATTGAGGTTATAGAGGAACTTATAGCATATGAATATCAAGGGAATAAACATTAATTGAATATAATACCATTTTCTAAATGCATGTCTACTGTAGTTTATTAAAACAAATAAGTATTATATTGGTCTTAACTTTTCTTCATATACAATAAATATTTTAATGTGTGGTATTTTACAAATTAACAAATTGACAAAATTGGTTCAAAACTGGTTTACAATAAATAATTTAGTGCTGAATGATAAAAAGACAAAATGCATTAGATTTGTTTTGCCAAACGTTAAAAATAACGAATGTGACATATTACTGAATAGTGAGAAATTGGAATTTGTAAAAGAAACTATTTTCCTGGGAATTACTGTAGACGACAAATTACAATGGGGTCCTCATATTACATCTCTAGCGGGACGATTAAGCTCTGCAGCTTATGCTGTCTGGAAAATCCGTCAGTTAACCGATATAGACACGGCAAGGCTGGTGTACTTCAGTTACTTCCATAGCATCATGTCGTATGGCATTCTGCTGTGGGGACACGCTGCTGACATTGAGTCTATCTTTGTCTTGCAGAAGCGCGCCGTCAGAGCTATATACAACCTAGATCGTCGCGAATCTCTCAGAGAAAGGTTTAGGGAGATCAATATTATGACCGTTCCATGTCAATTTATTTATGAAAATATTATGTATGTTAGGAAAAACCTACATTTATTTAGTAAAGTGTCTGACAGACACAATTATGAAACTAGACATAAGAATAGATTAAGTGCAATATCTTGTCTTACCTTATAGTTTACTGAATTTTTTACTAAGATCAGGCTACCACCATGTATCATTGTTTGACGATTATAACAGCCGCCAACACAATAGTTTTCAAAATGAATAGATTCTACTTGATAGTCCTTCAGCCAATGTTCAGTTATACAAATAATATCATACTTAAATTTTTCTAAAACCAATTCTATTTCAAGTAATTTTGATGAGCAGCCCTGTATATTTTGACTTAATAGTGTTAACAAGTTGTTCTGTTTATACTTATGTGATATATTTTTATATTTAGTCTTAAATTTACTGCCAGAATATACCTTACTATTAACATTATCTATGATGGTATGTTCTGTTGTCTTACAATCTAGTTTAAACTAGTATTATTAGTTAAAGTAATGTTGTTACAGTTAAAATTTATCATAGTACTGTTAGGTTGCCTAGACAGCACAGATTCGTCCCTACAACTAGTAATTGTTATATTATTTATAACAATGTTAATATTAAATGCTATCAGCATAGCACACAACCTATCACAGTAGCATAAATATGCTTACACAAGTGTATGTGTCATTACACCATAATTTATTGTAAAACAGCTTTCGTAGCTATATAGGTACTATCGTCATAAAATCCATTGTATTTCCTTCTGTAAGATGTTACCCATCAAATGTTCACGTAGCTGACAGTATTTTATCTTGCAGCAACCCACCTAAAAGTGCTAAGAGAGTGGATTATTTAAAATGGGAAGACTATTTTATGGCGACTGCTGTACTAGCTGCACATCGCAGCAAAGATCCAAACTGCCAGGTCGGGGCAGTTATTGTGAACACCGATAAAAGAATTGTTGGCATCGGGTAATAATTAATTAAATATATTCTACTATTTCGCATAATCTTTTACAAAATTTATTTATTTACTTTTACAAACTATATCCCTCAAACATACAAGATTTCAAGTATATAAACATCTTTAATTAATTGCCCAATCCAGAAGTTGATCCAGAGACCCCATGCACAGCAGTTGCTTTTGTGACTACTGCAGTTAAGAAGTAAGCGAGCACCGTTCAATTAATATTTATGTATACATAGTATCTTCATTCATTTGAATATTTCATGTAAAGTTATTTTGTATTTTCGTTTATTAAATTATTTAGACACCACTGACAAACGATGAAGATGATGAAATATATTCAATAAACCTGGGCTTATAATTTTGAAATTGCCAACCCGCATTGAGTGAGCATGGAGATTTTCCGTGCAAGAAGAGGCCTTTGGTCACCATTGGCCACATATGAGCTGGTATGATGGTGATGATGACCTTCATTTATATTAAAATACAAATTACAGATATAATGGAATGCCTAATGGATGCTCCGACGAGGTGTTCGACTGGACTCAAACCAATAAACAATTATATGGTAAGCATTGTTGAGTTTCCTATTTGCTATATTGTTACCTTTCCTATTTCTAAGATTTTTTTGGTCCATGAATGGTTTTCAAAATATTATGTCGTCATAAAAAATTTGCGTCAAGTATCGTCTTGGTTTTATAATTAAGTACTATGTCACTACATAGCATAAAACAAAGTCGCTATCTGCCGTCTGTCTGTTCCTATGTATGCTTAGATCTTTAAAACTACGCAACGGATAGTGATGTTTTTTTTTTAATAGATAGAGTGATTCTTAAGAAAGGTTTATATGTAGAATACATGCGGGTCGCTAGTCATCATATAAAATTAATTACCTAATTAAAGGAACTGAGATTCCTAATAATTATTTTACTTTAGTATATTCACGTGAGCAACTCGCGATTTTTAGTTAATTTAGTATGTCTCACGATAGTTATTATAAAAAATAGCTAGTGAATTATAGTGATGAAAAATTGTTAAAAACACAGACAGAGTCACTTTGTTTTATACTATGTAGGTACCTAGTCATTTTAACCCAATGCTACATTAGAATTTAGTAGCACGAAGTCTACAATTGTGCCCGGTAGGTATATGGCATTAGGCTCACCCCCTATTACATGGGACTCATAACATGAATAGTGAATAGTGGGTGCTACATTGTACAGTGGCATTAAGTGCCGCAATGTACCACCTCTGCCTACCCATTCGGGGATTTAATGGCGTGATGTTATGTTATATAAACTTAATAGGTAAATTTTTTAGGAGTGAACTGGCCTTGAATTGGTAAATACCTACATATGTTGCAAAAACTGCATTTATGTGATATCTATATTTTTATCTATGACATATATATCTGCCTGATTATAAACTGCATTTCAGTACCTATTACACTGCACTTGTATCTAATCTTCCTCATCGAGTATAAAAACCCCATTGACATTGACAAAGGTCAGTCATGTTATCTTTATCAATGATGTAAATGCCGGATTATAAACTGCATTTCAGTACCTACACTGCACTTGTATCTATTATTTAAAAACGTTTTCACTAAGTGCAATAAGTTAAGCATTTTAAAAACGCAACTGTTTTTCAAGGCCAGTATTAATTTTTTTTATGGCATAATCCGGTAATCGAGCTGACGGATCACCTGATGGTAAGCAATCGGCGTCGCCCATGGACACCTGGAACACCAGAGGCGTTACAAGTGCGTTACCGGCCATTTGGGGATTAGGAGTTTGAGGATCGTTGGGGATTCAGGGATTGGGGAGATTGGGGAAAGGAAGGGTAATTGGGCCTCCGGTACCTAACCTCACTCACACGACGAAACACAACGCAAGCGTTGCTTCACGTCGGTTTTCTGTGAGGTAATTTAGTCGATCATAAAATATTGTTTTTTTTTCGTAGTAGGTATTAGCTTGGACCCTAGTAACATAACATCCCGCCTTTTAATCTTCGAAAGGGTGGACAGAGCCTGACAGAGGTGCATGTAATATTGATATTAATACACAATGAAGCACTTCTCCGTGTAAGAAGGCTGATGATGATACATTGTAGAGGTATAATGCATAACGTAACCGATGTCCCGTTTTTAACGAGACTGTCTCTTTTATATTACGAGTCCCGCTGTCCCCGAAATTAATTCTGGAAAGCAAAGTTGTCCCGTGTAGGAGCAACAATTGGGAAAAATTCAAATAACACATATTTTTGACTCCATGCTATTAGTGAGATTTTTTTGAAAACCCATTTATAGGTCGAGCCTGTTATCAAACCTGAGATCCTTTTCTGGGTAGGCCTTTTTTGAGGAGGAAAAATCATCCAATGTTTTCTCCCGCCTTGGGTTAGGTGAGAGGGAGTGTCAAACTCGTACTGACTAAAAACCACCCCGTTCCTACTCCTGCACTTCGAGCCGGAGCCCCGTCAACCCGTTACCCGGCTATCCGCGGCTCCTTATCGGGCAGCCGTGGTTGTAACAGTTACCCAGTTTTATAGTTTAGGTACCTACCTATTTCTTTATTTATTTGTTCTGGAAAATTGCACCAGAACAACAATAAATATTTCTCGGAATTATTAAGTACCTACTTATGTTGCATTTAATTGTAGGTACCTATTGATGACAATAAGTATTTATCGGTAAATAATTATCATTGCACTTTTATCTAATCTAGGTACCTACTTTCGCCGGGACTTACTTTTTTCAGGCGGATCCTAATTGCAGCCGATTGTTAATACGCAACTACGAAATACCTACTGCTATGTAATTCTATGAAATCTTAATAATGTTAATCTTATCGTGATCTTATATTTCCTTTCCCCAATTTCGAAGTAAAAGGTAACTACTATACAGCATGTGTCATACATAAATATAATTACTATGTCATTGAAATGTATCTAATATACTTGGCCTAATGGCCTATATTTTGGCCTAGTCAAAACTTTAGATTCGAAGATATTTTATCCCAAAAAAATAAATCTTTCATAAAACATTTTAGCGACCGCCCTAACCTACATATACGTCGCGGAGAACCTAACGGGTTACCGGGACTCCGGCTTGACGTGCAGGAGAAGGAACGGGGTGGTTTTTAGTCAGTAAGAGTCTGACACTCCCTCCCGCCTCACCCAGGCGGGAGAAGTCATTCGATGATTTTCCCCCCTTAAAAAAAACCTACATACACAGCTACCATAGTATAAACTATGCAGCTACACTGACAGGTGTAGCTAGTTAGCTAGTAGGCCCCGCTCCCTAAGTCCCTAAATACCTTACAAAATTATTTTTTACCGGTGCCATAGAATTGTAACTTCAATACTTTTGCATATCTAGTACTGAACATGTTATTGCATATTTATAACACGCGCTATATTTTTATATTATGTTTTGTAATTATTATTATCAAAACAAATTAACCTAGTTGAAGGTCTTAATAAACAGACGTTACCTACATACTAGCATAATAGAAATATAGTCCATTTATATTATTTAAAAAAATCTCAGTAGCAGCACGGCGTCTGGAATTGTGTCCGGTATATGGCAATAGGCTCACCCCCTATTACATGGGACCCATCACATAAATAGTGAAAAGTGGGTGTTACATTATACAGTGGCATTATGTGCACCTCTGCCTACCCCTTCGGGGATAAAAGGCGTGATGTTATGTAGTCCTTTTATTAATTTCATCATAATATTTATCTTTCAGTTTGCCATGCAGAAATGAACGCTATTCTGAACAAAAACGTGATTGATGTGAAGGGTTGCGATCTATACGTTACCCGGTATCCATGCAACGAGTGTGCGAAGGTGATCATCCAGTCCGGAATCAAGAACATTTATTACATCTATAACAAACACCCAGACAAGCCCATTTACATCGCTTCTGGGAAAATGCTTGAAGCTGCTGGTGTTAAAGTCAAGTGAGTAATGCAACGTTTTTGATTTAAAAATGAAGGCCTATTATAGTGCGAATTTGTTTTACGTTTAGCTATCGACACGGTTATTAGAGGTATATGACTGTCTGTGCTAAGATCGGCCTGCTCCATTAATTCAGAGATCTTAAAGCGGTAACGTTTCCATCTAGATAAAAAAAAGTCTCACTAGGCCCCCAGACGACTTATAATCAATATTGTATTGACTACTTGCGGACTCCGCGAAGTTAGTTTCGACTTATTTTTTACCGACTTTAAAAAATGGAGGAGGTACTATGTTCGGCTGTTTTTATTTGTTTGTTCGCCGATTACTCCGCCATTTGTGAACCGATTTCCAAAATTCTTTTTTTTTGTTTGAAAGGGTATACTCCCGAGATGGTCCCATTTCCATGGGGTCAGGATCTGATGATGGAATCCTAGGGTAACCGAGGGGAACTTTCGAAAATTGTAGGGGCGAGTAATGCGTCTATTATGTTTTTCAATGAGCTTATATCATAATGATGTAACCAAAATTGTAAATTAAGTATCTATTAAGATTTTAATAAATATTTTTTATGGAACTTATGGCACCGACTTCATACCTATCAGTGGGTGGGGAACCTATCAGCACTAATAATAGTTATTTATTGCTTTTTAGTTTTGACTTTTTGTTTGTTATTAGTTTTTGGTTTTTTGAAGTCGTTTTTTATCTTATATACAATAACAAACCCAACAATAGAAGAACTGATGAAATCGGTTCAGCTATTACATTTCCGCTTTGCACCACATTTAGCGATTATTTTTATATTACGAATAATATCTGTCATACTAATATCCCCTCAGTATTATTGGTATAGGATAGGCCATCCATCCTATCCATGGTACATTCTCACGTGTTTATAAACAACCTGTACGTATATCTATCGTGGGTTCAATGTTCACCTGGAATGTTCTTTTTTTATCCATCTATAATAGAGGGTAAGCCTATTGCCATATACCGGGCAAAATTCCAGACTCCGTGCTCCTACTAAGAAATTTTCGAAAAGCCGAAAAAAGCACAGTAATACTTTACTCTACCCGGAAAACGAACCCACTACTATTAGGCAGTCGCACTCGACCAACGAGGCAGGGTTGTTTTTGTTTATGCTTTTTGTATTGTTTTGTTACCTTTTTTTTAATGTTAATTTTTCTTTTCAGTAAATTTGTACCCGAGAAGAATATAATCTCGCTTGATTTGACGCCGCCCCAAATGCGTTATTAAAAATAATTGTTATTTTATGTACGCACGGATGCACATCGAACTACACATTACCATTCCCAGTCTATCGTGGTCTCGCAGCTCATTCGACGGTCAGTCCATACTGGTGCTGCATAGAGTGGTGTGTGATCGCGCGTACATTATGAAGATGATATATACGTATTATTTATACATGTGATATTTTAACGTGGTTAAGTTTTATATTGACGACATCAGCAATAAGCTAATGAATGAAACAGAAATGTAAATAAATTTGTAAAATAAAATTTTATTACTTTATGTACAAGATGACACGGGTACAGATACTCCGATCACACCACTCAAATACAATTAAAATCAACAATCAAATGTGATTTACAATAACTTAATTGAACATATTTTGTGTAAAATAAACATCAACTACATCCACTGAATAAAATACATTTGTATAATCATGAAATAAATGAAACTTAGAAAGGAATAAATATTTTTTATTCAGATCTTGCCTACATTCTGTGTAGGTACAAATGTTACCATGTGTCTGCTATCCTATAATAAAATATTAATAAGCTGAACATTTCATTCAGTGAATGTTGTCTTGGAAACGAACTGATCAAGTGTGTTCAACACAACATAAGTGCATGTATTGTTACAATTTGGAGTATTCAATTATATAATTATTGTCCAAACTTTACACATATCTACAAAAAAGAAAAAATAAACTTATTCCAATGCAGTGTTGGTTTAATTTGAGTCCATGGTCACCATCCGTACTTTTACATATTAAAACCTTAGCGCCGCATGCAGTCAATAAATTTCAAGTCAACAAAGACCTCAGAACTAACGATATTGTACAATACAAACTTAAAGTAAGAATTATTTACAAGCGTAACCTCCGGCCACGGGCTCACTGTGCGGCGTTTGTCCAAAGTTGCCACACTACAATACTTTTACACATTAAAACAGTCGTTATTTGAAATGTAAATCCTAATAATATGTTGTTACGTGAATATTGTTGAACACTTGAGGCCGCTGGATGCTACGTCACAGACATTCCAAACCAATTATTTTTTCTAATTAGTAAAAAATACATACATAAACAATTTATATCTTTGCTAAGGATTTCCATTACATACGAGGCATTTAGAGGATCACAGGACTAGATATAACTGTTAACATTAAGTCATCATAAGACAAACATGTAACGACTATTGTTATTTTATGTCATATTCGCAACTGTTACGTAATCTTAGAAACATTTTTAAAGAATGAATAACGGGTTGTACAGGTATTAACATATACTTAATAGATATTTGAATGAAGCTCGAAATTGTTTGAAAAAGGATTTAGCTATGGGAATAATAACATAAGAAACTGTCTTACAAACTAAACAATATAAAGGAACATGTTTTTCACACCTTTTGTAACTCGAGACTCTGGAGTCATTAAACAAATTATCCTACGTCTTTATGTTAGAGCTGTCGACATGAAGATTCCATCAGTTACCAAGTTATTACAATCTAGAATATAGTTAACGATAAGTGTTCGATCGCCGCGTATCTATTCTAATGCTACGCAATGGTTAAGGATAGACTCATGAACCACTTCACTACCTTTAAAACAATTAGGGATAATTCATTGTAAGAATGAATAATAAACGAATAGAGAGTCGTACACGGTACGATAATGTAAAGGCAGAAATACATTATTGTGAGATATCGGTTAATACTTCTACTAAAGTTAGAAACACACTTTTATGTCGTGGCGTGTCGCGTTGAATGCCGAATGTTTGCAGCCGATTGGTGGCCACGACGGCACGACACGACACACCAAGATATAATCAATTCTGCTTTAAGGTTTACACTGTAACTGTTTGCCTCGACCTTCGTACATGTTACGATGCCGCTGTATAAGAATAAATTCCTGTTAACATACAAGTGTCCCAGGACAATTTTGCTTGTAGGTAAAGTTCCTTAAACGCTGCAAATAGACAACTATATGTGGTAAAAGAAAACTTCATAAAAAGTAACAAAAAAAAAAACATTCGAACTCCGAATATATGTATACTTTCCTTGACAGATGTAAAGGTTTCATCGTAAGGATTATTTTATCGACGAACAAGAACCGCTATTACAGCGATAAATCAGCATCGTTTCACAGAACAAACGCTACGATCGTTACAGGCTTGTTCTAGGGACAATGAATTTATTCATATTCAAAAACAACATTATTAAAACTTCGCTAACAACAAATTTGGCTACATAAATATATTAATAGAATGTTCCAGCACTCATCAACTTTGGCAGTCTCTATTCCGTAGCAGTAAGATTGGTTTTCGTAGTTCAAGGTGTATTTATTGATTTGCATATGACCACACTAATTCATTAATTAATATCAATATTATTAATTTGGTAATCAGGATTACCATCTTGGTAATAAGAACACGTTAATTTAAAAGTACATCTAGATTAAAAGACTTACAGCAGCGACGTCCGTCAGTCAATATGTTCTCGATACAACATTATTACTAATATTCTGATCAATTGGATATTACAATGTCTCTATATTCCGCTGAAAACGAATTGTCTATGTCGTAGAATCTGTATAATTACGAATTAATCACGTTACACTATTATTGCTTACAATCTCGGCACCTTCAGTATATCAAAAAGCGTTTCGAATTCGGTACTTAACACTAATTTGTAATCTATTCAATGGAGTACTTGGGGTTGTGGATCAGTACTTGTAAGTCTGATGTATAAAAAAAGAATTAATTTTAATTAAAAAACCTATCACTACGTTTGACAAAATTCACAATGGCATTCTCAGCGGAACACAAAGCTGTCAGCTAGGACTTTGGTCTATGAAGAGTTCAAATCGATATTTACGTTTCAGGTTTGAAACTATCGAACGCTTAGACAGTTGGTATATAGTTTTAGACCGTTTTCGAGGAAGGAGTGGCGCGCGGTGTGCTCAGTTGTTGACGGCGATCTCTTTCGGTTGAGGCGGGGCGTCGTCCGCCACGTGGTCGTCGGCCAGCTCGCTCAGCTCCGACGCCGGCTTGAACGCGATGGCGTACGGGAACTTCTTGCGACACGCTTCGATATATTGCTCTATCTCTTTCTCGCACGGCCCGAAGTCGCCGTCTCGTAGACTGTCTAACACGTCTACACAACCCTGTAAAGCGAAAATTGGCATTTTGAAAATTACGTAGTGTGGGGAACGTTTTATTAAAAATAATATGTGAGATTGCTAGTCTATTTCTGATTTAGATTTTACCTGTATGGAGAGGTCGGGGTAGTCGAGCGAGGTGGCGAGCTGCAGCGCCTGCAGCGCGCGCGGCGGCAGGTGGCGGCGCAGCGCGCGCGCCGCGCTCAGCGCGCTCGCCTGGCAGCGCGCCGCGCCCGGCTGCGACACGAACTGTTCCGCCATCTCCACCGTGCTGCGCCCGCGCACCATCTGGGGACACGGGGTACAAAACTCCTTTACTCAATAATTCACCAAATTCTAACAGAACGGCAGAAGAACGAAAAATGTATCAACACTTCATCGGGCTTAGTCTTCAACCCAATTGCGTACTCTGAACGCTAATTTTACAGCTACAAATAGGGTAAAGGTTGATGCATGTTGATGAAAGCCATGCCTCGCTCATGGACAAGTTACAATAACGTTGGCGACTTTTAGGGATTGGACCTCTACTACCTACTGGCTGCAAACAACGCAAACATTGTTTCACGCCAAGTTTCTGAAGGGTTTCCTCCGGTCGAGCCGGCCCATTCTTATTTATTTATGTTTTTTATTTAAAAAAAATAATGCCCCACACTAGGATTTTCTCCTGTGTCGTGGGTGCGTTTACAAACATACAAGTTCACATACACAATGACACCCAGACCCGAAACAACAATTTGTGGATCACACGAAGTGTTGTCCCGTGCGGGAATCGAACCCGCGACACGTTGCACGGCAGCCGGTTGCCCAGCCACCGCACCAACCATGCAGTCATTATAGAGGTAATATTAAGAGCTTGAAAGGTTATTCGTTACTGAAAGAGGTAAATTAAGGTTGTGTATGTTACCGGTTCAATTTCCTTGGTGATAACGGCGGCGACGGCGGGGTTGAGGCTGGCGAGGTTGTCGTCCAGCCAGCCCTGGAACCGGAGCAAGCAGTCGTGCAGGTGATGGTGCGCCGCGTCCAGTCGGTGCGCGCGCTTTATGCTCTGCAGCATCAGTAGGGGCTTGTCTGGAAACACAAATAAACATATACTTTAAAAAAAAGAAACGGTTTTATTTATGTGTCCTTGCCACCTGCAAGATGCATTTCAGGATTTGGAATTTGGGGATGGGGGGGGAGGAGTGAAGCTTCCAGCAACCTCACTCACTTGACGAAACACAACGCTATTATTGTATCAGACCTGTTTTCTGTGAGGCCGTGGTTCTATTACCGTCGAGCCGACCCACCCGTGCTGAAGCATTGCTCTTCCACATGAAAGCGATACAGTAATACATACGTAAATTGTTATAAAAATAAGAGAATGTTACCTTTTCTAAAGTATATTTCGAAGGCCATTAAATGTGTATCTATCCTATCTGCGGCGAGCGTTCTTAGTGGTTGTAGGAACTTGAGCGCTTGTTCTAACGGGTCCTCCGCCTGCAACATTATAAAACAAGTTAAGTATAAGTTATTCCGGTTGATGGTCACAATAAAAATGACTTGCCTGTGACACAGGAATATTCCTACTATAGGCATATTATTTTTAAGATCTTGTCGCTTAATTAAGATATTTTTGTACCTATGTCGACCAGTGTTATTATGAATAAAAATTTTATTTACTTATAAAAATGACTATGCTATTAGTATTAAATATCAAAAAAGCTTTATAACTATCAGATTAAGGGCCGATTTTTCAATGCTCAGTTAAATTTCAACTGACGAATAACTTTCAATATTTGACAATTATTCTATACTAAAAACTGTCAACTGTCAATTTTACTCCACAGTTAAGAATTAAGTGATGATTGAAAAATTGGTCCTTATGTTACTAATTATAAATGAATGAGTTTGTGTGAATGTTTTAATCACATCAAAACGGGAGGAATCAGGATGAAATTTAGAAAAGGGGTACATTTTGGTCCATGGCAACGTGGGCGGGGGCTTAATTAATAATTACATATACTGAGACTTATTTCAATAGTTATCTCGTGAGGAACAGAACGGTACTAGCAGAGTAATCGAACCATGGTCAACAAGTCTAGCTTCCGATCAACAATGCAATTGACTCGTAATAAATTAAGTGCATCGTTTAACTGACGTGAGCCGGTGTGTGCTAACTAGTACGTCACGATCGGAGCTGCGGGACTGACAGCTTGATATTTCATTGTCACTGACGATATCTTTCTGAACAACTTTATTTAGCAATGCGATTGAGATGGTGACTTTGATTTACTTCCAAATGGATTTCCATGATAATTACAAGTGTATAAGAAGTATGTGTGGACTAAAATTGAGTGATTGAGTGAAAAATAGTGTTAGTGTGGATTGAAAGATGATGTAGTGACAAGGATTGAAAAGGGAATGTCACGCTGGTGGACATGTAGAAAAGATGGATAAAAGTAGAGTAACGAAAGAAGTATACAGAGGGGATATGAATGGGGCCGTGTGTAGAGGGCGCCCTAGACGGACATATAGTGACCAGATTAGCGATATATTAAAGAAGGGCCAAATTAAAAGTACCCTTAACCGACGAGCATGCATGAAAAGATTGATGACTGTTGATGAAGGGAAAGAGGTATGAGGAATCGTAGTAATTGCCGTTCCCTAGTGTCTGCCTACCCCCATGGGAGACAGGCGTGAAGTTATGTATGTATGTATAAGTACAGGCAGCAAACGAGGAGACACCTTTACAGGAGTTCACTTGATGCAGTTTATCCATTCATTCCGAAGCATGAATACCTCTTACACGTGAAGTGACGTGTAGGATGGCGAAAAAGGTTTCATTCATGTGACAATAACTTTCGGAGCAAAAGTTGTAATATTACATTAAAATAATATATCAATGCATAAGGATTTGGCAGGGATTTACTGTACATAATACCCATAAAATCTTCTTCATAATACAAATAATAAGGAGCATAAAAATCGAACATTATTGCAAAAGACACACATTAAAAAGATACAACATTAATATATCTTGAAGACTTATTGTCGCCAACTTACGAAGAAATTAATTACAACATTCTAATCGTGCATTTCTCGTTAGATATTAACTTCCGTAGGAAGTAGGTTCAGTACACGGACACACGAACAATAGTCATTTGTGTTTTATTTACTTGACAAGCTATTATTGACTTTGATACAGTCAAAGTTAAGTAAGAGAGAGAGTCACAATTAAGGTTCATGAATGGCCTACCAGTCAAGGGCATAAGACAATATTGGAGCAAGTATTACGATATGTACGACTAAAATATGTTTTTTTTTAAGGGGAGGAAAATCATCGAGTGACTGCTCACACCTGGGTGAGGCGGGAGGAAATATCAGACTCTTACTGACTAAAAAACAACCCGTTCCTACTCCTGCCCTTCGAGCCAGAGCCCCGGTAACCTATTAAGTCCTCCGCGGCTCCGTATCGGCATCAGTCCTATTGGGACGACTAAAATACTTATGAAACAAATTAAATGACACTTGTTACATCAAGTTTTGAATTAATTACTTGCCTAAAACCTAACTCTAGAAAAATATTTACGTATTTTTTTTTCTATTTTTTTAACTGTTCGCGCTGTGTCAACAGGTTTTTGTGTGACCCACAAACTATTATTCCCAGTCATGTATATATGAAGTTATGTTTGTAAACGCACACACGACTCAGGAAACAGTTCTAGCGTGGATTTAAACGTACCCGGGCTAGTTTGTCAGGTATGAGTTCATCTAACTGTGGCGCCTCGGGATCACCTTGCTCCTGCTGCTGCCTTGCTTTGTGATGCTGCTCGCGTTTCACCTGGAACAGAACGCAAAATATCATCATCATCAGTTCGTATTCTTAAGTCCTCTTCAAATGCTCGATCTTTGTGCATATCGTCACTCTATCTAGCTGGAAGGCATCGCAAGCTGGCTTGACGCCACTTTACAACACGTCAACTTCGAAAGGTGCATTCCGACTTTATGATCCAAATGAAAGATATAAACAGGACAAGTGACACACTTTACATTTTTTTTTGTTTTGCCGTTCAAAAGTTCCTTTCTGGTCTAATTGAAACAAAGGATTTTGCCATTGACTTTAAAACACCGAACCACAGATGTCGATTGTTGTAACTGACCTGTACTTGAGCCTGTAGTGCACTTTCTTGTTCAGCTTTGCGTTTCGCTTTCCTTTGTTTATTCCTAAGTTTCTTCAGTTCTGAAGGAGCCAAGTTTTCTGTAACAATAAGAAAGTAATTACGTTAGATTGTATATCGTGATTTAGGCACGTGCAGTTAGATGAAATCCTTACTTCCTTACTAATATTATAAATCGGAAAGTGAGTTTGTTTGTTTGTTCCGCTTTCACGCCCTAGCTACTAAACCGATTGCTTTGAATGTTTGCAGACGTAAAGTTAGAAGTCCGGATTAAATAATAGGATACTTTTTATCCCGGAAAAAATGTGATATTCCCGAGGGAAAACAAAAGTATTGGTATAGATGGCGCTGTGTGTATTGGTATGTTATTATGTCACAGACTACTTCTTTCCTTTTGTGACGCGAGCGAAGCCGGGGGTTAAAGCTAGTTATCTATAAGTAGTGTTCGCTTATACCCAACTTATTAAAACTCTGTTGTTAGTTATGCAAGTTATGTTAACTAGTTATGGAAGATAAAAATATGGTCCAAATAATATCAGAACAGAAGCATTATTAATTAATACAAATTGCATTTTAATCGATTTTGGCAACATGGCTAATCCAGAAACAAACTAAAATACTAAAGCTACAGAAAATAAATAAATATTTTGTTTTTTATGGGGTAGGCCGGTAAACGAGCAGACGGATCACCTGATGGTAAGCAATCGGCGCCGCCCATGGACACCCGGAACACTAGAAGCGTTACAAGTGCATTACCGGCTTTTTGAGGATTGTTTGCGATTAATGGATTAGGGAGATTGGTTAAGAGGGGGGGGGGGGATTTGGGCCTCTGGTAAACCAATAAAATTGCAAGTTATGATCTATTTTCATAACAGTAACTAACTTTTGCAACGTTCAAGGTTGTTGCAGCATAAATTGGTCGTCATGAGTATCTATTATCGACACGAGTAATTCTCGTAATAGCGCATAATCAAATTGCAAATCTAATACGAGTAATTGGTAATGACCGATGTATTTAAATTTATAATGGCGGACCATGCAAAGCAATATGGCCGCTAAATCGAATGGAACGTAATCGGCAAAAAATATGCATCAATGAACTGTTTTACTGCATCGCCGTTGACTGAATCAATCTATCGTGACTATGTAATATTCATTGATTCGATTGTAAAAACTTTTGCGGTGAAGCACTTGCGTATACTTAGTCTGTATACTTCTGATAGAAGTTTCATTCCTAATAAGAAATGAAGCCTATTGGGTTTGTCCTTACAAGTAAACCATAATGAAGTTTCAAAAATGTAACGTTAAGTAATTATAATTTAAAATTCCATATAATGACTACGGTGCCAATTGTGACCCTGCAGAATAAGATAGGCTTTCCTTACGCGAGTGCAGCCGCGGGCAAAAGTAAGTTAATTATAAAACAAAGGGCTAAGCCGTGTTATACCGACAATAGTGAGCCGTTGAACAAGATCATTTGATAACAGATAAGAGGTCGACGTGTTGGCTGCGCGTGAGTGAACGCAAGGGTCGTGGTCGTGCGCAAACGCATTCCACATGTCACACTTTGATATTATATTTACCTGTATTGTGTTACACGGATATACAGAATACATTGCGCCTGTAGCGCGCCAATAGTCAATTTGTAAAAGGTGAGTTTCATGATAAAAATCGCAAAATAAAACTTAGTTTATACAGATAATAGTAACATTTTAAGCTTTCAGACTAATTAAAGAGAGGACTAATGAAAATATGGTATATCTAGTGTTTGTAGTAGGGGCGGATATTGTGTAGTAAACACAATGGTAGGTCGTACGGTTGACCATAGAAGCATTATATTATTGAGACAGTTTCGCAAGCATTGCAACATGCGCCGGCGCACGCCGTATGAACGAGCGCCCACGCCGCCATTACAGGGTTGTCATATGTCTAATTGAAATGTCACGCAGAAAAGGGGATTACCAAATGTAACTAATGTTGTTATTATTAGTGTTATAAGTTAGTAGAGGTATTTTGATGAGTTAATAAGAACTGCACGTTGACCATGATCTCTTGGTATCATTATCAAATAAATAAGGATATAAGGTTCCAAATGGCCTAAACTACGTGTACATTATTATGTGATAATAATTATCACAGAGTTTTATCACTCAATCACGTCAAATCACTTCGTTGTATGTCCGTTTGTCAAGCATTTATTCTCAGAACACATCATGAAAAATTATAAAGCTGAAGAGCTTGACTGTTTGTTTGATTGCACGTGTCAATCTCTGAAACAAAGGAAACTATCAAATGAAAATTTAATCGAAGTCAGCCCTACAATCGATTGTCGGCAAGTCCATGGTGATTACGTATCGATTGGTCGGCTTAACGATTTAGTCTAGCGGTGACCAATAGACATTGCCACACAAAAGCTCATGCCCTTATTGTATGAAAACAGTATTTATTTAATTTTCAAATATCAAAAAAGATGACGAACCATTTGAAGACACGACACCGACATAAGAATATTTGATATCTTTAAAGTTACCTTTTGAGACAAAATGGACAAAATATTATTTTAAACCCATTATTCACACTAAGACCATTTTGGCGACACATTATACCAGTGTGTATGAAAATAAATGGGCAAATATACATTACAACTACTGGAAGACTGCAACTAACATCGTTTGCATACTCATTAATCAAGATCCAAGTATCCTATCAGTTTTTATAAAGTGTTTGTATCCGTCAGACATGTACTGGTTAACTAGAAAATGGTCGTGAGACGGTTTTTGTTGCCCCGGTTTCATATCCGGCGCACCTTGCCGCATTCCCTAGCACTGCGAGCTAATGCAAGCAGACCCCACAGCATTGCCAAAGCTCTAACCAAAACCAAACTTAATTATATCATGATTGTTTTAAATTCAATGCTACATCTTATTCTTTATGTCAACTTTTTACTAATGTTTTTTTTATTTTGAGTTAACCTATATCCTTGTCTGTATTCCTAATTAACTATATATAAGTATGGTATGCAAAATTTAGCGATGATTGGTGGAGCAGATAAAGAATAGAAAAAGCAACAAACTTCGTATTTTCAAGTTGGGAAGGTCCAAAGACCACACCTAAAGGCACAATTACGTGTACCGATAACAAGCTAAAAAATTTTAGTGAACCCTATAAAACTGAAAAGGAAATCAGGAATTTAGGCAAGACCTCACTCAATGGGTACAAGCTAACGGGTATTCAGACGTGATGGGTTAACCAACTGTACTTGAGCTGACTTTCAACCTACGTGGAATATAGCGTTACCTACGTGACACTATTCTTTCCAGAAAGGGCAGGCAGAGCTGCAAAAGTTTATTGCACTAGAGACTTGGCGCTTAATGCTCATGGCTTCTCTAGGTCTGCAGTAGCCACTTATAGACTGATAATGAAAAGAGCTTATTATCCGAGATCCCTTGCTTTGTAGACCCGCTTGCGACATATCGACCTAAAAGGTAGTCATTGATTTCACTGGTCATTATCATGATTAATTTATTTTAGATCGCATGCTATAAAAATTAATGACAGTAATTAAACTCTTTAGCCACAGGAAACAAACAGTAATTACAAAATTGACACACGAATACGTTATAGTATTCTAATATGGTAATGAACATAAATCGATGTGTACTTAGTATTACATATACGTTGAAAAAATTACTACTTTTTCAACTTGGCCCTGTTTGACCATTCAATATGATTAAGAAATCATATTGAATGAAATCATTGATATAACACACGTGAAGTGTAAATTCCGAAGTAAAATGGTTCTGTCTTGGTAATACAATAGTTTTAGAAAGAATAAAATGTTTAAAACAAAAACTAACTGATGAACCATTCCAAAAAGCTCGCATACGAACTCATAGTACATTATCAAAACATCACGGCATGTAATTCTCGAAGAGGAATTTCTCGTCTGGTGGCACGTGCGATTTGAATAGTGCCTACAAATTTACGTCTAGTGTTTTATGTGCGTATTTCCATGTTTTATTTAAACTAATAAAAAAACACAATTTTTCTCATTTTTTGTATATACTTACTTTATACATCGAAAGTACTCCTTATGGAAAGTTGTTTTGTCGCGAGACGAAAACGTAATAGATTTCACGGTGTATACGTTGTCAATGATTTCGCAAAACATTTAGCCCCCTTACGCACTAGCGGTTGTCCGCCTAGGCGGTTCATATCAGACGCGGTTGCCATAGCGGTTACATATTAAATTGGAAAAGCGGTCAACCGCAGGGAGCGGCTAGCCGCGCGGTTGACCGCTAGTGTGTAAGGGGGCTTAAATTAATTAGCGTTTGCAGGTACCATCGAAGTAGATCCGTAAGGAGATGATAAAGGTGATGATTAAAATATTGGCCAATAATCTCTTTATCATCAAGAGCACATGATCGTCTACTGCTTAACTGGACTGTGGGTATCCATAAACTACAAAAGAAATCTTTATCTTAATCTCATTTTAGGGTTTGTTATATGTCGCAAAACACTTAAGAATGTCTAATTATGTTTGAAGCAAATAAGTCAAAGTTGCTATACAAAACCGATAGAGCTATCTTAAGTTAAAGCATAATGCTACTGACGGCAATATATTCAAGCGAGTATTTACGTAAGTGAAGTATATTGTGCCTTAATACGCCTAGGACACGTCGCACACACAAATTACTGCTCTAATTCACTAGACGTTTCGTAAAAGTAATGAAACTGCGGCCGTGGCGGCCGAGCGACGAGGTCGAGGAGGTCATTCCTATAATTAAAATCTAACATTTTGTAGACAAATATTTTGGAATTGCAACTAGAAATAATAATGAGCGTAATCTTTTTCGAAAATATTTTAAATGGGGCCTTAAGTACTATCCGTTAATTATTATTATGGTTTGTTATTGTTTCGACAAAACTACGCCATTTTGTGAACATCGGTGTTAAAACAAAATTATGGTTTTCTTTATTTTGTGACTATGCACCTAACCGTAAAGTACATTTTAGTTTGACCTTCAAAACTCTATAGTGAATAAATTCTATAGATAACAAACTAACTCGCAATAGCAACTTTATCAAAGCAGCCCCAGCCCAGGGCGCATTTCGCAATGCCAGACTTGTTCGTACGACAGCCGTGCGCCTGCGCAGCCGGTTGACTTCACAAACTAGAGCAACATTACAGACCTCCGGTGCTTTAAATTATTTTAATGTGTTAATTCTCACGAATATTTCATTTTTATCAAACGATTATATTTATCAACGATTATATTATATTTATTAACGATTATATTATATTTTACGATTTATTATAAATTAGGACGATAGTTTCAAATATATTATATATAGCATGTATTCAGCTCCAGGCAATAGTATGACAATACTATGTTGCCAAAAAGCGAAAAAATTGTTTTACATTTAAGATTCATTCAATAAATTGTGAAAAATTCACATAATAATCATTTGAAAATAACCGACGCAACATATCCATATAAGTTAGACTCTAGATATACAATAAATAATATATAACAAATCTGTTTGTATAACGATTAACAACCTTTGACTATAACAAGTGTGTATAACAAGACCAGTCATCAGTCAACAACTAGATTATCACTTATTCAAAATGGCCAGGTCAATTTAAAACATGATCATCGTTGCTAACAATTTATAAATTATGTAATAATAATACTTAAATCAACTTACATAAAATTTAACTTCCGTCAGTAACACCTGTGATGCATTTAGATTTTAGAGAGTTTAGAAGATGGATACGAAGGCTTTCCTATTTCCTAATTTTCTATCACATCTATACATTTGGCATTCCCCTTCAGATTTGTCAGTCTTTTTTTTAAAGGGTAAAAATCATCGAATGACTTCTCCCGCTTGGGTGAGGTGGGAGGGAGTGTCAGACTCTTACTGACTAAAAACCACCCCGTTCCTACTTCTGCACTTCGAGCTGCAACACCGGTAACCCGTTAAGTTCTCCGCGGCTCCGTATCGGCACCAACCCTAGATTTGTCAGTCTGCACGTATGAATCTGTATGAACGCGATAAACTCAAAAACTACCAGGCGAATTTTGAACGGTTTTCACCAATAGATAGTATGATTTTGAAGAAGGTTTATGCCCATAATTCATTAAGGCTTTGATCACGTGGACACATTCGCGGACGGAAAGCTAGTTCCGATAAATTGATCCAGCTTTTTGATACGGGGTATGTATGTTTAAAATGATTAAGTATTTAATTTAGTGCTCCTAACCGTTTCATATTCCAATTCTCTTAAATTAAAAAGTAAACTATAATTTATTTAATGTATGTGTCGAATAATTGCAAATGCTAAATGGCCGCTTACATTTTTAAACTCTTAATACATCTATTAATCATAGTTATCGCATTCGACTAGATGCTCAAGTTCCAATCATTAAATCATAGCTCAAATCATTTAAGATTAATAGCGTTTAGTCGTATGCGCAGCCGACGTGTGGTTGTGAAAGCCACCTGCCGCCGAACAATGTTAGGGGCTAAGACAGTTGAACTTTTGTTCAATAAAATATAATTGTTACATTGTTACAAAGGCAAAATAGTTTTTATTGAGGACTATAGAGCT